AAATGCTTACATGCGGGTACGATTCCAAAAGACTGGAGCAATGCAATGACAGTCTTGTTACACAAATAGGCGATATTACTAAATTAGAAAATTATGGACCCATCAGCCTCTTGGCACATACAGAAACTCTTTATAAAAATCTTAACAAAGAGACTAACACCTAAACTTGATTTCTATCAGCTCAAAGAACAGACAGGCCCAGGGCAGGATATGGCGCAAATGACCATTTGCATACCATAAAGATCTTAATAGAAAAGTGTATCGAGTACAACATACCACTGATTCTTGCATTTGTCGATTACGAGAAGGCTTTTGATTCTGTAGAGTTTGAAACAGTACTGGAAGCCCAAATCAAAGCCGAATAGATTACAGGTACACGACACTAATCAAAAACATCTACGAGAATGCTACATCAAGTATACGACTACACGAAGACAGAAAAATTCAGCTTAGGTCGAGGAGTTAGACAAGGAGACAATATTTCACCAAAATTGTTCACGGCAGCTCTAGAGTCAATATTTAAGAACACTTAATGGCAAAATATGGGCATCAATATAGATGGAGAAAGATTAAATCATCTAAGGTTTACAGATGATGTTGTATTAATCGCAGATAACTTACAGGATACAGTTTTTATGATACATTCGCTTAAAAGTCTGTCTGAAAGAGCAGGAATAAAGATAAACTTTGAGAAAACTTAACTTATGTCAAATCTCGTAATGAGTGGAAATATAACTATTGGCAATAATACCATACAACAAACAGACACTTACAAATATCTGGGACACGAAATCAAAATAAGCAGAGACAATCAAACACATGAAATACAGAGGCAAATAGGCCTAACATGGGCAGCATTTGGCAAATTAAGCCATATTCTAAAAAGTTCAATTGCTATATCTGTCTCAAGCGAAAGGTTTATAACCAATGTGTTTTGCCTGTACAAACTTATGGAGCAGAGACTTTAACACTCGCGCAAAAATCTGCGAATAAACTCAGAGTTACAAAACGAGCCATGGAACGTGCAATGCTGAACGCAAGCCTTCGAGACCACATAACAAACCAACAAATCAGGCAAAGATCAGGAGTTCAAGACGTCATCGAAAGAACCACGACGCTTAAGTGGAACTGGACAGGGCACTTAGCCAGAACACAAGATGGACGGTGGACAAAACGTATTATGGAATGGAGGCCCAGAAACTATCAAAAAAGCCGAGCACGACCACCGACTAGATGGACCGATAATATAAAACGTATAGCGGGAAACTGGCTACAAGCGGCCCATTGTAGAGAAACTGGAAAGAACTAAGAGAGGCCTATGACCAGCAGTGGACGTGATTGGCTGATTTATGATATTGATGTTTATATAATAAAAACTAATAATCAAGAAAAGAGAAAAATTATTAAAGTAGGTAACCTTAATAATATACTGTTACTATCGGAACGAATAGATAAATTTTGAACATCTTTAACAATTAAAATAAAATTTTGTCGTTGTTTACACGCCCTGCATTGCTTATTGCCATTTAGTATAGAGAATATTGTAAAGCTTGATGCTTGTTTGGACTAAAATATTCATTAGGATGTCAAACAATTCTGGATTTTCATTAACTCATTTAGAAAAGACAATTCATTCCCAATAATTTGTTCTTAGACGATAAGTGATGTAATAATTGATCTGGAATAGCTAACTATTTTCTTCTTTTTACACTAATGAAGACCTGCATGTTTGTAATCTTTTAATCATTTAGCTGCCGTTAACATTTCTGTTTATAATATAACTCTTGCAGAAGTACTTATTTATAACTTTTTAATTTGTCATTAAAGCAAATCTTAGTATATTAACGAAGGATGCTTAGTTTATTTAGAAAACTTTAACAAAACTGTACCACACAAACTTCAAACGATCTAGATTCGACCCATAGGAGACAAAAGGGAATTTTGATTTTGAATGAACAAACATCGAATTGGACTTTGATTTATCTTGGATGATAACAATATGTATGCTTCAAAACTCGGCTGCTTAATTTTCACTTAAAACTATGTGGGCCTCGCTTAGCCCTCAGATATGCTGTTTATCAAATCCCTTGACACGGAATACAGCAACAAACTCTTCACAAAGATTGCCCAATAGCATTTGAGCTTATCTCTTTCCTTTTAACCAAAACTCATTCGAATTAAGCCACAATTTGCCGGTTTTTGAAACTATCACCGAAAAAGATCTTTTTCCCGCTCCAAACCCAATTCGTTCTCTCCGCTTCTGCGACCTTCAACTCCCACCAACTTTTCGTTGTCAGCCCTCTCTCTCTGTCCCCATCTAGTTTTTAACTGCCAGTCAATAGGAACTCTTTTTAATTATGTTTTTGATTCGAGAATGGACCTTAAGAGTACTGGGCCTACAAATTTTTTGTGGGAATTTATTTAAGACGCTAATAGACTCTATGCAGTTATTATTTTTTTTAATGTCTCGCATAAACACATGGATAAACAAAACTTCAGATTATTACGTACCAGCCAGGGGCGTATCAAATAAATTTTTATAAATATTCTATAAAGAAAAACTTATGCTACAAATTTCCGATTTCCCTCAGGCTCTTTCCAGTTCTTTTAACATAATGTTGATTTCCTAGGTCATCTCCTATCAAAACCTGATGTCATCAGCATAACTCAGGTGGTGTAGTCTTTCTCAGTCGACACTTATCCCTTTATGATCCGAATCCAGGGTTTTAAACGCACGTTCTAGGGCCGTTATAAAATGCTCTAATGCATTTAATCATCATCATCACGTAGCGCTACAACCCTGGGTGGGTCTTGGCTGACTGTACAACTCTTTTCCAATTTGTTCAGTCTTCCATCGACCTAGGGTCAAATGGAATGTTCATTTTCCGGAGATCTGCTTAGATGTTATCTCTCCATCGCATTCTGGGACGTCTGAGTGGTCTTATGCCTATGGGAATCTCCTCCCATATCAGTTTTACAAGTCTCTTGTTATACAGTCTATGCACGTGGCCTGCCCATCTTAGTCGCTGTGATTTAAGTTCTTGGACAATATCGGCGTCATTGTAGAGTGCTTTTAATTCGATATTGGTTCTGATCTTATACTGGTTTGTGGTGATGTCATGGTGAAGTATTTTTCGTTCAAAGCATCTGAGCTTTTCTTCGTTTGCTTTGGTCATGGTCCATGTTTCGCATCCGCATGTTATTACAGGTCTGACGATGGATTTATAGATTTTGATCTTTGAACTTCTTGTAAGATTTTTTGATTTTATGAGCTTATCCAGTGCGAATAGACAGCGGTTTGCAGATTGGATTCTGTCTTTTATTTCTTCAGTAACATCGTTGTCAGCTGTGATTACGGCCCCCAGATACTTAAAACGTTGTACTCTTTCGAAATTGAAGGTGTTGACCGTCACATTTTGTCCTATTCTGTCTCTTCGTGTCGTTCTATTTATACACATATATTTCATCTTCTCTTCATTAATCTTTAGCCCTACTTGTTGCTCCTTTCACCTTGTTGAAGATGTCTTTCGTAGATAGGATGGAGTCTCCAACGAGATCTATGTCATCTGCATATGCGTTGAACATAGCATATGTTGCTATGTTTTGGTTGTATGTCCTTTTTTCTCAGAGGAAATTGCTTTATAGAATTCTCTGGAGTCTGGTTTGGGCCGGTCTCTCTCCATAGCTTCATATTTTTGTTGTTCATAGTTTCTTTTCTTTGTGCGCATTATTTTTCTTGTTTCTTTTCGGCAGTCGTCATATTCCATTTTACTTTGGTCTGTTTGCCGTTGTATCCAAGTCTTCCTAACTGTTGGTCTTTTTTCAAGTTGTTTCCAACATTCCTCGTCATACCATGTTTTTGCCCTCTGCTGCCTACTCCTTCCAAAGGTCTTGTCCGCTGTCTTGGTTATTATTTCGTCAGTCGTTTCCCATAGCTGTTCAATGTCATTTCATTCTCTTTCAGAGTTTAGGTTTTGTTTCAGTTGTTCTCTATAGTTTTGTTGTTTCTCTATATTGTGCATTTCGTCCATGTTCCATTGTGGGTTTATTGTTGTTTGATTTGTGGCTAGATATTCTGAATTTGACTTTTGCTCTGACTAAGTAATGATCTGTGTCTCCGTCTATTCCTCTCAGGCTTCTTACGCCTATAATATTGTTCCCATGACGGGCATCTACAATGATGTGGTCAATTTGGTTGCGCGTAATATGGTCGTTTGAGACCCAGGTTTGCTTATGGATGTCTTTATGCTATGGACTTTCATTTAATGCTTCAATTAAACTAGTTCTACCAAGTCAAACGCTTTGTGGAAATACATAAACACTAATACCAGAGGTCTGGTGCATTTCATGGATTTTTCAATGAGTTGTTTATCATTTGCAGGTAGTTGTTGGTTGGTGCTAAATTTTGATCGAAATCCCACTTGTTCTCTGGTTTGGTAATGTCTAGCTTTTTATCCAATCTCGTTATCCTTATTGTGAAGAGTTTGTACATATAGCTAAACAGGCTAATGGGTCGATAATTTTCTAGTTAAGTTTTTCCTTTTTCGTCTAGCAGAATCGTTACTGCCTTATTCCATTTATATGGTATCAACTTTTCTCATAAGCATAAATTAAAAAATTGATCTCCCTGCTCTTGAGGGATTCAATTACAAGTGCATCAACTCCTGGTGACTCATTGTCTTTTATCTTATTTATTACTTGTCTGATTTCACTATTTTGTGATACCTGGCATTAGTTAAGAACCTTGATTCAGTTGCCTCTTTTTTTGTGAAGACGAAAAATTAATATATAAATAAAATATTAATAAAAATATAATAATATAATTACTAAAACCAGAAGTGAAACATACATCACTTTCTGTTGCTGTTTACTCAGGTGAATGTTTATTATACGTGTAATTCATACAGAACAGACATTCATTTTGTTGAAGGGCAAAATCTGTTAATGTTTATTTACTAACTGAAATATGGTGACACGCTTCATACATAAATCACCCCATATAAAACTAAAATTCATTTAAAACATTTCCAAACAAACTATTCTCTTATATTATTCGCAATTATATACAATCTTGTTTTGAGACTACACTAAAAATAAAAGTTACAGCTAACAAGTTAATTCTTATTTTTAGCTTCTATTTCCTTCTTAGGTTCGTCTTTCGGCTCATTAGATTCTTCCGATGGATCATACTGATGTAGAAGCAAGCGCCACTGTTTTATCAATCCATCCCAACCGCGTCTGGAATATTTGATATATTTATTTGGAGTTTTTGGTTGCTCAGGCGTTCTTTCATCTCTGAAATTGAAATTCAGTTGTAAATGTTAAAAAACAATAGAATTCTAAATGTCGCGTTTTTATAGCTATTTGGTAATTTTTCTGGTTTTTGTAGATTGTTTAACAAACATTTAGCTGTAGACATTCCGTTTTTACATTTCTCATGCTTTTAAAAAAATGAAATAAACTATAAATTTACTTACCTTGGAACCTGCTTTAAATATTCATCATATCCAAGAGTATTTTTGCCGTAATCGATTTGTTTCTGTCTTCTTGCAAGTACGGCTTGATCAGTCTCGTATTCCTTAGGTTTTTTTCTAAAAATATTTATAAATTACAGTATGAATCACGCCTGATTAAGTGACAATAATACGAAATAAAAAAAACACTGAAATGACATAAAAAACAAATAAAAACCAAAGTATATGTTAATGAGCCTCTTACATAATATGGCAGAAATGTGTTTAATCTAGTCTACAAAACTAAAAAAAAACAAAAAAGATATAAATATCTATGAAAGACGATGAATTTCCTCTTATACAAATATCCTGTGAGGAAAACCGAGTTCGATTATAATAAAATATGGAACAAAAGGCTATGAATCAGAATATTCAAGCTTGTTGAACACTTCTTGAATAATACTTTTGGTATTTCTATACAGCGCTGTTATGAGTTACGTTAGTTGATAAGGGATTATTGTAATTTAAGCTTAAAACTATATATTCATATATAAATTAGAGCCGCTGGTTTTATAAAGCACAGTAGAGTAGTATTACGGTGTGAGGTACCTTATTAGTTTAAAAATAAATTAAACAGTAACTTTTGAAAGTATAGTTCAGTAGTGATCTTTGTAAAAAAGAACTCTCAAAAAGAAAGTGTGTATCTGACCAAAGATGCGGCTTGCAGAACTATCAGTAAAACTAAAGAAATCGAAGTGTCCAAAGGAGCTTGTTGAGATGGTGATTATTACGTGCCAAGGTCTTGATGATGAACAAATGAAAAAAGTGAAGTCTATGCTCATAGAGTTCCATGATTTTAGTGGTTTTCCTATTGGGGAACCGTCTATTGCCATCTTTACTACTCTATTTGTTGTTATTAAGCTTATATGATCAGTCCACTATACTCTTCTATTTCTTACCCAGTCCTTGATGTTCTCTACCTTGCACCTATGTCAGTGGTGCTCAGACTGCATCCGGAGATCAACGGAGGTCCCTGAGTTTAAACCAGGAGTAATTCAAATTTACCGCCCGCAATGTTTATTTGTAATTGGTCCAATCTCAGGCAAGTTTACTCCACTGTTATGAAATTTTGACACTAACGGCATTTCATGGGTTAACTAAGTTATATCGGCGATTTTTTGTGTTTTCTGCGTTCTTTTAATGTTTAGTCTGCTTTTATAAAAAAACAGTTGTTTTTAGAACTCTTTAGCGACGTATTAGTATAAGATAATATTTTTGGAGAAGGTCTGTATGATCATCCAAAAAAGAAGACATATTTGGTAACTAGTGACTTTCTTGGGTGTGAATCTATCTCTTTAGTTTACTCCTGGTTGAAAAACAAACAATAGTAAAAAAAAACAATTTTTAAAATAAAAAACTTTATTGCACATTTCTAGTTGATCAAAAGTTGTAACTACAGAGAGTTGTAATTAAAGTCATGTTTTTCATATTAATTTTATTTGAGTGTTGATGCATGGCACTGCTTATCATCCACAAGTATTTCATATGATGGTATGTAATTACCGAGGGCCAAACGCAAGCATGAAGAGAGATGTTCCTCAGTTAGCAGATTATGATATTTTGATTTCACTATTACTTACCTTTATTAAAGCGATTACTGCAAGCTATTTTTACTTTTGATTAACAAATACTTTGTTTTTGGATACTAAAAGTTCACTACACGCTATAAAACTTAATACTAAACACTTAAACTAAACTCTAAAAAATAACATGACCAGTAAATAACTTCACAATAACTATAACATATAACACAAAATATATTAACTAAAAACCAACCCGCTAAAAATACAATTTGAATTTAAAAAGACTGGCAAGTTTGGACCTGTAAAATGAGAATTCGTCTGGCTTAAGGCAATAAATTATATTTATTAGCCTCTTGACGAATGAGAGGGTGAATATCAACAATTGCGTTTGTTTACAGTTGGGAATTTGCTGAACGAATGTACCATTATTTATCTGTGAATGCTAATATGTCGAATCGGCATTATCGCAACTTTCGGAAGAAGAGAGCATCATAATTATTTCGATCATGCACGTGTGGTGCGTCAGGATAGTCCCCGTATTTTCTCCGTGAATCGCGATCGACTTCAAAAACTTTTACGACGAAGAACCCTTTGAGAACCGCTGATCTATGTCGTATATCTGCACTCCTATCAATGTCCCATACAGTTTTACCATAAATGTTTTTAGTGTTTTCATCTCTGCTGTTTCTAACATTCTTTTTGTCCTCTCTGTGTCAGGTCGTGTTTCGGCCACTTATGTGATTATTGGTCTTATAATAGCAACTATCAGTTAGTACTAAATTATGAAATTAACTGGTTCTACCACAGCCACCTTTACTTCCAAGCCATGAAGTAGAAATTTGGCAACAACGCGTGGTAGTCCGACCGTGGTTTGTTTTGTTTAAAATTTCATATAGAAAGGCTTGTAAAGTTTGTTGAATTTAGTGTTTTTTTAACTTTATTCGAATGGTTTATTTGTAAATTGTGTTTAAATCAATTAGAAAATATTAATATAAGTGAAATTTCATTAAATTTAGAACTTATAGAAGATTCTTAACGACAATTTAAAAGGCAAGTATAAATATAACCTAGAAATCAAACTGAAAATAATAATACTTTTGCTTCTTGTTACAAAATATGTAAACTAAAAACAACAATAATAATACTTTTGTTTTTTGTTACATATGCCCTGGCATTCTTGTGTACCTGGTAGCAAAACCAATTATGCCAGTACTCTAAAAACAAAACAGGCAGAAAGTACGTTTTCGTTTTCCAAAGATCCCCAAAAAAGGTATACTGGGTTATGCTCTATTCATAGAGAAGGCTATACAATTACCAAATCTTCCATAGTATGTGCCAAACATTTTCATGAAGATGATATTCAGTGGACTGAACAATGAGAAGATAAAGATGGAAATGTACACATTGAAAAGTTAATATTTCCCAAATTAAAAGGCAATGCAGTTCCTAATATATTTCCTGAAGTACCATCATATGTAACTGTTCATCGTACTAAAGAAAGAAGGAATCCCGAAGACAGAAGAAACTTATTGCATAAGAAGAGGGAACAAGAGATAACATAATTATGACAATTATACTTAGACAATAATATCCCATTGAAAAACTGGACAAGTAAAATTACAAGTGACTGTGTATATTTCTATGTATTAAACATTAATCAGTTGGGACACAAGTGTGATAATATTTGTGTAATACGTAGTGTAATAGTTAGCAGTAATTTTAGTGTAATTGTCAATGTAGGTAAGAATAGATTAAGTAGTAATGATTTGAAATGGATTTTACAATATAGTAAATTAACAAGATGGTCACAATTAGAGAACTTACTTTCTCATTTAGATCTGCTTTTTAGATAAGTGATAACAAATTTACATTCAAAAATCTTTTGAGAATATAGGCTATTTAAATCGATATACAAGTTATAAATGGTATGTTACATTCAACACATTTTTCATGTATACAACTTTTAACTTGATCTACATATATGACAAAAAAACCTATTCATATTTAAAATTGCTACTTTCGTATACCTAAGTATGAAAATTCAACAAAAGTTATAAGTAAATAGTAAAATATTTAATTTTCAATTAGATTAATTTAGAACCATATTTATATTGTGTCTGATTTCTTAGGATGAATTTTTTAATCATAATAGTTACACCAAGTTTTTACTTAACAACTTAACAACAATATTGTGTTATTTATATGCTCAAGTACTTAATATTTAAAATTTCTAGAGATTCTTGACTGCATTTGATTGTAAGATTAACTGTTTGACACTGTATTTTAAGTGCAATAAATTTTACTCTAGTGATTATTTTATTGATAATATAACCTAAATAATAATAAAACTTTATATATATTTATTAGATAAATATAAGGTTTTATTAAATTAATTTCCCTAAAAATATTTCTGTAATGAACTGAAGTTTTCAAAATATCAGTTTCCTAAAATTCAAATTAGTTCAAATTTTCTGATAGACCTTACAGCTGATTATCGGACTACCGACGTCATAGAATGCGGTGTTGCCTTTTTTACTTCATGGCTTGGAAGTAAAGGTGGCTGTGGTTCTACTCATTATCGTTGTTTGTACAAAGAACATAGACTTACCCTTTGGTTCTATTAATGTATTCATACCAGGCTGAAGGGTTGGTCGCGGTACCGACGCCCGGGACGGCCGACGAGGCAATTCACATGAGACTGGTCAATGTGGTGTGTTTCGTCCACTGTGTTACGAAGAAGTAAAGTGCGTTGAGATGGTCCGAGCTAAGGAACCCTCTAAGTGGTGGTCCGAGAGGGTGTACCAATAAATCATTCTATTGTCGGACGATTTTGAATGGCGATAGTTTATAGTTAATTGTTACAGTAATATGACACTTTACACTTGTGCGTATATTTTTGACCCATCCAAAGAGAAGCAAAATTTTCTGTACTTCAAACATGATAAATGAGATAGCCAGTTTAAGTTTTACGAAATAACAGGAAATAATTTATTTTAAAAAGGTCTTTAGAATACAGCACTAAATTAGGTCACATTACAGTACCGTAACAGAAAAAAATATTAAATGTAAAAATACATACTTTCCCAAACAGTAGTTATATTGTTTTTAGCTTATTTTTTTTTAGTTTGACCCATATGGCCTTTGCCCAGCGTAAGTAATTGTATATTAAGCATTTTTATCAGTGACATTTTCATGGAATAAATAAATAATGGAGCACAAACAACAGTAATAAAAATACTTTATCAGAAATATTTGCCCAATAATATTGGGCAAATATTTCTGATAATTGCAATAATAATTGTCCTTTTGTAAAAAGTATACAATTACTTCTAAGGAGGTTAGAATTTAAACAAATCAAAAATGAAGATAATAAAAAATTATCTACAAGAAGTATATTATACCTTGGAAGCTTTCCATTTACAGTTCGTATATCATTCTTTGTCATCTTTGGGGGAGGAGGTATTTCTAATTCTTCATCACTGTCATCACTACCAGTTTTCCATTCTCCACTTGACGAACTAGAACTAGAGCTAATTTCTTTTTTTATTGGCTCAGTGAATACTCGTTTTACAGCTCTTTTCCTATCTTGTCTCAGTTCGTCATCCATCACTTTAAAAGAAAATTATATTTAGTATACAATATTATCAGCAAATACTTCTAGAACTACTAGTTTAAAAATTACTTACGGTCCACCCAGTCCTTGGTTCCAGGGCTATGTAGCGTAAAATTTTGAAACAACTCTTTGTTAAAAGGAGAAGGATTTGACTCATCACGAAACTGTTCAGTTTTAATAGGTGTACTTAATATTCCAGTTGTTGTTTCATCTTTAATTCTCTTCTGTTTATCTACTTCATCTTCTCGTTCTTGTTTTATCCTAACACAGCTATCTATTGTGCTTTTCTTTGAATTCATTTGACTCTTGTCGGGACATGGACTGTCTGGATCTGGCTTTACAATATTTTCAATATGACTGAAACGATTTTTTTATATTAATATGGTAAAAATGATTAAAAATACCCAATGCAGACACAGAAATTTGCTTTTTAAAAATATTTTGTGCCACCATACAAATAACATAATGAAGACATTTCAAATAGACAAATGAACTATTTAAGCAAATATAAAAATAGTACTTAATTAACTAGGAAGTGTTCAAAAAATGCATTTATAAATTAATTGCTATCAAATTCAAATTTGAAAGTTTCATTTACACTCGCCAAAAGTTTCACTTCTTTTTCACAACAAATTTTTAAGGATTTTTTATGTTAAAACATTTTGTACATCACTACAGCTTTAGTCCATACATCTATGTATAAATATATACCTTTGTTCACTACTTTTTATGCTGCCATTTGTGTCCAGAGAAATAAAAGAATCATCTAGCTCGCCCTCCTCTTTTGGTTCTGTCTTGACATTTAAACTGGGATCATTCATATTGAAAATAACTTTTTATTTTTATTAAATAATGTATCACTTCGCTTCTAGATTCTACAGCTTTTTTCCTCTAAGGAAGTCGTAGAAGACACAGCAAATCACTAAACTCAATTTTCTAAACTTCGGGTTAATCAGCGGTGTAACCACTTAAAGAGGCATAAACAATTTAAATAAATTAAAATATATATAATAACATTTTATCACTAATATGTTTTGTTAAATAAATAGTGTAAGTAATAGTATAAACAGTTAAAATTACAAACAAACGATGGTTGGTAAGTTGGTATAATCCCATTATACCATACAACAACTTTTGGCGCGTATGTCAAAATTTGACAGTAGTAAAGAGACATACAACATACGTCATTGCATGATACTAAGACTTCCAAGATAAACCCACTTCGCAATCGAATTTTGTACATCGACGCGCATGACGTCAAGTGGTGATAAAAGTCACTTTTATCACCAACCTTTTATAATCACAGTCGGTAAAACATATATGGAAAGAGATGGTTTTTATTTAAATATTTAGAATATTAAGGGATGTTAGGTAAAATATCTGCAATTAAATCTTAAAAATATGTTATATATACATCTCTGTTAGCCTAGCAATGTAAACTAAAATTATATAAAAAAGTAAGAACTTAACATCCTTTTCTTCTTCTTCTTCAGATGCAAATCCACTAATGGATGTTAGCGATCACATTTTCCATTAACTCTCTATTTCTTGCAATATGTATCAGAGATTGTATGTCGTTAATCCCTGTCCATTGCCTTATGTTTTGGAGCCAGGACATTTTCTTGCGTCCCATTCCTCTCTTGCCTTCAATTTTACCCTCGATTATAAGTTGGAGGAACTGGTATTTTTCATTTCGCATGATGTGACCTAGATACGCCGTTTTCCTTTTCTTGATGGTTTCGAAAAGTTGGCGTTCTTGGTTTATTCTTTTAAGGACATCTATATTTGTATATAGTATTTTGAGAACGATTTCCGAATTGGAAATTGAAACGTCAATAAACGTATTTTTATCTTTAATTGTGGCTTATTCCCAGTTATAAATAATAATTAATCTATATTTGTGATTTTCGCTGTCCAGGGTATTTTTAGGATACGGCGATAAAGCCACATTTCGAAAGCTTCCAATCTGTTTATATCTCTCGTTTTGAGTGTCCAGCCCTCTACGCCATATAGCAGCACTGACCATACGTAGCACTTAGTAAACCTTAGTCTCAGTTGAAGATCGAACTCAGAACAAGTCAGTACCATCCTTTTGCAAATGGAAATTTATATACAATGGATTGATTTATTAAAATAAAAATTTTATACAACTGATAAAATAAAATACACTGTAATAATTTACAAGTTTATTTAACAATTTATTTTACAATTTTTAATATTTTCTTCTTAACTTTGGATGTTTCTTTAATATATCTATTCAATTTTCTAATTTTAAAATATAATTTACACCTTTACTAACATTACATCTGAACATAGCTAAATCCATTAGCAATTTTAAATAATGCTTGGTTAATTTTAATGACCCTTTGTTAAAATTGTTAAAAGTATGGTCCAGTTAATTACATTTAATTAGAAAATCTGGATATGGTTTAAGTAAACCTCCTTCGGAAAGATGGTTTACCCAGTAAACCGATGTCAACGAACAAGATAAACGATAAAACAAAACTAAATCTCAAGGTTAGTAGATATTTAAGTAGATACTTAAATATCTACTAACCTTGACTAAATCTGACAAAACTCCATACAACACCAAGGTCAGTAGATATTTAAGTAGGTTGCCTCGTAACTATAGACCAATCAAATGCTCGCTTTTTAAAGGCGGGAATACGTCACCCATACGACACTTTTAAAATTGCCATAAGCTTCAATGCTAATAAAAGTTTCAAAAACTTAGGTTTTGCAATATATTTTGGGATTTTCTTGGGTATAGGGATGTTAAGTGGTTCTTATATTAGTAATTATATCATTTTTTTTTATTAAATCAATAGTCTGATGACAAAAAAAAAGAATTGATTATATTGATAATATTGTGTGTTTTAAATGAAGTTAACAGTTCAAACAAAAACCCAAAAAAACAGTAGAAAAAGTTCAAAAACCAAAATACTAAATATGTAGAAACTTACTTATTAGTTTTTCCTGGAATTTGCAGCATTCTTATCATATCTAGTGGTAGGAAAAAAAAAACAAATAGGTAATATAAATAATTTATTATTAGATTAAATACAAAAAATGATTAGTCCTTCAAGCACAAATCTTCAGGCTATAGGTCACTCATCTAAAAAATATTTCATTATTATAACGTACAAAACTACATATAATTGTTAGACAAACCTTGATATCACAGCTACAACACACTTCACAAGTGTTTTATGTACACAAATAACTAAATAATAAGTCTCTATAAATAATACTGTCCTTATACCTATACTTAAAAATAAAAACTAAACAATAACTAAACAAATAAACGAACTAATGATACTATACGAAAATTCCACAAAAAAATATAGAAATACAAATACAAACGTGAACTTAAACTCAGACGTGCAGACAACTGTCAAATTTGACGTTGTCGTATGAGTGACGTAGGCATTCTGCCTTCCCCTCGCTTCGCCCACATAGTTACGAGGCAACCTACTTAAATATCTACTGACCTTGATACAACACAGAACATTTCTGGTGACATTTGTCGCCAAGTGACGTCACACGACTGATCGCGTGCGCGTGGGTTTATCTGTAGTTTATAGTATCATGACGTCATTGCATCCAACCCGATGGCATGTCTGTTATTGGATGGTTATTGGTCTGTTGTCTATTACCTGCTTTCCATATGGTGGAATCACAGGACACAACTCAAAATTTTGGATTATATTTTTAAGTTCTTCAAGAACATAACATACTACAGCACATGCCTCTATTAGGTATATGCGATAAATTGATAAACAAGTGATAAATTACTAATTTCGCGAAAATCTAAAACTCTCGTAACTACAGTCTCAAAAAAAACCATGAGCAATACATATTACGAACCGGTTAACCGGTTGCGTTAAGATTATCGAAAGTACAAGCTGATTATAGCCGCAAATGTCAGACATGGAACAAAAATTTCGGTATAGCAATGTTGCCATGTTTTTATAATGTAGATGCTGTATGCTTCAAATATAAAAATAGAAAGCTTTAGAAAAGTATTTTGCTTATATTATGTTATGTATTCTGCAATTTTTGATTTATATAAAACGACACTGACTAAATATTTTTTTCTTTAAATTTTCCGACACTTTTCAACAGTAGCTATATATTTTTCAGAATGTGTCTTAGACGAGAAAGTTTTAATTAATTATTAATGAAGAGTCTAAAATGCGACACAATTGTTAAAAAACTTCAATATAAATAAGATTTCATGTGACATTTGGGAATTCCCTCTTTTGTCTTTTTGCTCGATGGAAGAGACACATATCTACTCATTGATGCTTCAAATAAATTAAAAATTGCAGAATTCATAAAATAGTATAATCAAAATGTACTTTTTAAAAGCTTTATCTCTTTAATATTTGAAGCATATTATACAATAATATGCATTATAAAAACATCCCAACACTGCCAAGCCCAAATATTTTTAACATTTGCGGCTATATTCAGCTTGTACTTTCGGTAAACCAACCTTTATATTAGCACAGAATAATAAACAATTAGGGGCGATTTTCACATTTGGTCCCGTTGAAGATAGCCGCAAATTAGCTGTCAATTAAGTTTCACAGAACGAAATATTGGGTTGGCAGTGTTGCCATGTTATTATAATGTATATGTTATATGCTTCAAACACAAAGAGATAAAGCTTTTAAAAGGTACATTTTTATCATATTATTTTATGGATTCTGCAATTTTATACCTTATATAAAATATTAATAAAGTAATATTTGTTTGGTTTGATATTAGTTGTAATAAATTATCAGAAAATTTTTGGCAATTGCCCTTTGGTAGGTTAGCGGATAGATTTGGCAATAGAGTCCGAACCCTCGAACCACCCGCTGCCAGATTGCAACAGATGCCTTTTAAATTTTATTATTTATACTGACATTTTACTATTTACTGTTAAAAACTGTTTTAAAACTATTTGCTTTTTCTTTTTTTCGTAATCGCTAAATATTAGTTTTTAAATATCTTATTGCTTTTAATTCCGTATGTTTAGTTTGTAATGTAAATTTCAACACTGCGAAACACCAATATTTCATTCTGTCAAACCCATTTGAAGCTATCTTCATTGGACCAAATGTGAAAATCTTCCAACAATGAGTGCTTCACAGTCAATACATATTTGAAATAATTGCTCCTGTCAAAATAAAACGATAAATAAAACAAAACTAAATATTTCAAGGTTTGGTTTGTTTACAGCAGGTATAATTATTACTGTATTCTTAACTTTTAGATTTCATAGAACTTTAGGAATTATTAATAAAGGACAGGTAGCAGAATAATTTAGTATTTATAAATAATATAATGGATATTGATGAACTGTGCTACGATGGATGATGCCAGTGCCAGCTTGTGTTGCTGTGAATATTATGATATAAACTATGAAAGGAACCATATTTTGGCATGTTGTTGCAATTGTGAAGATTTAGATGAAGCTTTTGAAAGGTATTTTAATAAAATGTATAAAAAATAAGTATCCTTTATTTTCATTTACTGAATTATACAAAGTATTTTTTGAGATTTTAATATTTCATATTTTTTAGTCTAATAACAAGGCAAGCAGTAACTGAAAAGAACAAACAAGGACTGATGATGACTGTGAAGGATAGGTTTCGCATTCCATGGAAAGGTGGAGCAAAGCAGGTGGCTTTTGATGCCATTTTGCCAGTTTTTATCCTACCAACTACTCTAATACTAGCTAGTATAAGCCTTTGGTGGACAATATTTGCATTTACATCAGTTATAATTTTTCTGATACTGATATCGAGTTTCCTTATTAGGACCTTACCACATACCAAGTTCTTTTTTATCTGGACTTTAACATCATTGGTAATTTTATATGTGATATTTGAGTTTATTGTTATACCATTTTTGGAGATCCTTTTGGAGGAAAATATAGCCTTAAGCATACTAATATTTGGATTTCTGATATGTGTGTTTATCATGAAGAAAAGAACCAAACAGCTGCCTCGCTTGGGTGATAATGAACTAGAGAAAGGTTTAATTGGTAAAAGCTACTACAGGTTAGTCAATTGCTCAATTTGTCAAGTTAGAGTTCCTGATAAAGATCACCATTGTGTTTGGTAAGTATAAAAAACTATGTCAGTCTGGTTATATTTATTACAAGGTGTTTTACATGTCTACATATTGAACTATTGTTGAAAATAATAGAATTTGGAGTCTGAAAAGTTGCACTTATGTATAACTGTATGGTCCATTTGAAAATTATTGATATTTTTATGATACAGCTGATAGGTAAATATAAGAATATTTTATTCTCTCATTTTAGGTTTGACTGTTGTATTGGAAAACATAACCAGTGTGCATTTATTCTGTCTCTGTTTTTCGCAATTGGTGCACTACTGTACAGTTCAAATTTGACACTTACTTCAGTGTGCCATCCATTTATACTGTACAAAACAATTCTATTACCAGACGACTGTTCCGAAGTATACAAACTATTTGAGTGAGTAATTTTATAGAAAGTGTTCTTGTAGAGTTATAAATTTGTCAGAAACTGCACATTGTTAGACCACATCTTTATAAAATATCAAAACATAAACTTTCTTTTTCAGGTTGGGACTGTCTTTTGTGTCAGCCATTTACAGCCTTGTTGTAGCATGTCTTTTACTCACACTTTTTCTTCAACAACTGTTGTTAGTGTCATTGGGAATTACCCTGAAAGATTGGGTGCGGTTGCCACTCAGGGTGAAGTTGTGTCTAGGCCTAACAGCCAACAGGTCTAACAGTAAAGGTTTTATCAAAAATTGGAAAGCTGTCTTATGTTGGAATCGATATTTTTCTAGTTCTTTTAGTCAAATGTAAACTAGAATTACTTATTTATAGTAATTTTAGTTCTGAAAAAGAAATGTACAATGTCTGCTCAAGGATTACAGATTGATGGAGAATCACTTCTGGTATATTACAATCAAGAAGCAAAGTACAAAAACGAAGTCTCTAGCACATCAGGAAATCAGAAAGCTAATAAAAATGTGTTTAAAATGATGTCAACACTCTTAAAATTACATTATTTTATTCCAGGACTATTTATATCAGTATTATATAATGTAGATGATTATAAGCATGATATTTTAAGTATTACATATTCATCCTTTTATACATATTTTTTCTTCTTAAATTTTGTGCACATATCTATTAAATATTTATATTTCTTAATTTTGAGTTTTATTTCAAGAATGGACCACAGGAGTGATGTGATGACATAGATTTGATTGACATCTGCCAGTTTCACTTTCCAAACAAACATTGTTTAGTGTGGATAATTTGTATTTTTCATTATTTTTTCATTTATTTTATAGAATCTTTCCGCTTTTTGCAATATTTAAGTATTCTAATAGTTACTACAACAATTTTACAAGGTTGTCTAAATAATAAAGCACATTGTTTTATGCTAATAGGAATAAAATGAAAGTATCAATAAAGTAAGGTTAAAATTTCTTTAATTAAACTTTTAAACCATATTTCATAGAAATAGAACTCTGAATTATGACGGTATTATCGTAAAAACACTATACTTACAAGAAAAAGCAGCAGAGAAAGCAACATGTTAACTTAATAGGAATTAAAAAGTCTTGAGATTTGACATTTCAACCTTTGTTTGGAAAGTAATACTGTTTCCTATGCTGTCACAGTTTAAAGTAATATAGACAATGTGACGTCACACTCCTGCCGTCCATTTAAGGGATTTTTAAGAAACTGATGATTTTTTAGAGAAATGATTAGATATACTGTGACATTACTAGGGATGCTTTAGGAAATGAAGGACAAAAAAAGGCGACAAATGTAGATCTCTACAGGGCCAAATTCATATAAAGAAACATTGTAGGAAATACATTTATGATTACTTCATGGGGAAGGATCCAGTTAATGTTCTTCCTTCATGTTGTCAAAGTCATTGCTTCTCTCATTGTAACCGTCTCTATTTTCAGCTCACCTCCTTTCAATGTGGCAAAGATCCTGGAGGATTTCCATCACAAATGTGCTGTTTGTATCCCAAGCTGCCTTTGATGAAAGAAATTTCTCCTACTGTGGTCTCTTGTTGAATTTTTTGTTTGTTGAATGCAGACTGCCAATGAAGTATTTCACAGCAATTTGAACTGGGACACACAAAATGACGACAATAACATCCTCCTGCTTTGTTTTGGGCCAACTACATTCGGCATTAGCTGTTACAAGGTTGCTCTTACTCCTGATGCTTTAGTACTGACATGCTTCATTTGCTGCTTGAAGCTGAGTCTGGGCATCAATCAGCACTCCTAAGTACCGAACTAACGATTGTGATGTGATTTCATGTAAATTTAAGACTAACTTTACTAGTTTTAAACTGTGTTCATCCTCTGGCATAGTGGCGCACCAAGAATTTTCCTTTGGGTGGTGGGGGTTGGGGGGTTTTAGTTAGGCACCGAATTTTTATTATGCTACCTACATTTTGAGTTCTTAAAATTTGTAACAGTGTCAGAATAGTGCCTGGGGGGGGGGTTTAACCACCAAAACCATCCTTAGGTGCGCCACTGCATTGGCAGATTCTCTTGAAGATGATGTTGAACATGAGATTTATTTCCTCAAGGTACTTTGCGACAATCACTACAGCCACGTCATCGGCGTATGCCACGAGTCTATCATCCCTCGGTAATGCTTGCTTTAGCAACTCATCACTCATCATACATAATATTCCACAAGGGAGGGCTTAGCACAGAGCTCTGTGGTACTCCAGTGATTTTATATTCCTTCGGTTTTGTGACGCGCCGTGTTAAATATAACAACTTATCCACGTGCGGATGCTCATTCCTTAGATAATTTAAGTCTCATAATTATGTGCCAGTGGTGGGTAGTGCCTCACCTGCGTAGTAATACGAATAAAGATATATAATTTATACAATCTTCAGTCCATACCTAGAAAAAATATATATATCGAGAATTACAAATTTGAATGGCTTTAAATGTTTAGACCCAATCCTGGAAGGTAAGTGGAACCCAGAGCCAAAAACGAATAGTTGTATAACTCAACAGATATAGCTGCAACGTTTAAGGTCAATTCATTGATAAAGGGTGGAGCCGAGAATCAGTTGTATGCAAGCGTTCGATGCGTTAACATCCTTATACTTAACATTGAACTTCAATTCTAGTGCGTTTGCTACCTTGTCAGATAACTTCGTAATTCGTGATAGTTATTGTTTGTTGAATTTTCATATTAAAAACTAAGAGATGAAATAATTTTTTATTAAAGTGAATCGCGTAAGTACCGTAAAAAATCTAATTCTGAGTGCACAAGCTCGTGAAATTATATACTCGGTTTTAAAATTTACGCAACAAAAAGTGGAAGAAAAGTTATCGATAGTGCAAGAACGAGTAGCTGCTTTGACAGTTAAATTGATTGTATATTTATGTTAAAATGTATGTACATATCGTTGTTTGGATGCAGAAGTAGCCTAAGTCACAAAATGTTAATTTTACAGGATAGCATTTTTTTGTTTTTTTCTCAAAATATAAAATTCTTTTATCAGAAAATTATATAACAATGTTTAAGAAGCTACTTTCCCTATAGTTCATTGCTTTAACGATAAAAACCACGTTCTAAAAAAAAGATGGATATAGAATAGAAAAGTCTCAACTGATGTAGTCTGTGTCTAAATTTGGACATAGAATTTAGTTACATGCAAGGACTTAAGCTAGTTCTGGTTAATCCATAATATTAATAATCTAATCATGTAGTAGGTATAGGTAGAAATTATTTTAACAAAAACCGTGTACTTACTCATAAATCGTGTATTGTCGGCTTTCAGATTTAACAAATCAGTTTCTGAAATTATTAACAACTGGACCTTGATTTTTTTTAAGAACAAAATAGAAAATAAAACAAATAAATTTAACTTTAAATTAGGAAATAAAATTAAACAATTATGAATATTTAAACATCAGTATCTGAATTTTCCCCTGTTCTTTTTTCGTCATAAGGTAGGTTTTTAAAAAAGTCATGATATTGACATAAATAATTTTCTTCTGGCAAAGAAATTGCAAATGGTCGTATTCCTTTTTCGTTAATGGAATTTGCCCCGTATAGTTTGGCTTCAGTTGAATATCTTCTATATTAATTTGAAGTGTCTTTCTACCCTTTTTGACCAGATTAATTTTTTTAAATTCAATATCTTCAAAATTGTATTTAAAAAAACACATATTTGGATAGTCTGGCCAGGTTTGTAGAATTATTAATTTGTTCCAGTAAACTTTCTCATTAGATTCACCATTCTTCCAATTAATGGATGTTTTTCTAGATGTTCTTTTAGATCAAATATATTTTCTTGGTCTTATTCAACGACGTTATCCGGGTTGTTCCTCTTTGCAGTTTTGACAATTGTGTACCGTCGATGAGGAGAATAGACTGGAATATTACGTGATGCTCTTTCAATCACAGTATGAACACTGTCTCCCTCATTTTGTGTATGCCCTCGTTTCAGAAATCTATGGCAAAATGTTACCTTATATAATTGAGAAATGTAATTGTATAATGAAAATAAGTATTTATTTCTATTTTATCCGGCAGAATTGTCAGAAAAATATAAAAACTGATTCCTACCTTGTTCAATATTACGCTTTATAAAATTCAAAAGGCAATTGTACCTATTTCACAAGAGCCTCTCCTGATATGGTTTCGTACCACATATAACAATTGCATTCCTTATTACCCAGATTGAAAATAGTAAAGTTATAAGTTGATAATTTTAGCTTATAATAAGCTAATCCAACTTCCGACTTTGGTATCTGCAGCGACTGCATGCGTCTATTTCATAAAACACCAAAAAATTTAACGTAGAATTGAAAGTTTGTAGGTTATCAACACCTGATTGTATTTACAATAGGAAGGTATTATTTCTGTTTAGATTTGAACTTTAATTTTTTTTGAGAGCCAGTTCTGGAAGGGCAAACTATTCATCTATATAACTATAATCACACTTATATAACTGTGGGATATTCTAAATGCAAATATTAAAGAATGGAAATATTCTCCTGTTGCCAACTTGCCAAGAATCTGAAATGAAATATGTGCATCAATTAATATTTAATTTGTAGATATCAATAATAATAATTTTTTTAACATCAACAAGGCTATTGTTTTCATAATTGCACAGAAGAAACATTTTGTATCAACTAACCCTAATGTGACAGCAAGTTTTTCTTCTGGTTTTATCCCTTGCCGCTATTTCGAGATATCTTTATTATAATTTCTTCTCCAGGAAATCGGGTTTCTTTTTCTGTTGCGTGACTTTCTTATTGAGACTTCTTCTTGATCATGCTCCTGATCCAACAAAACAAATTCGGGATCATTTTAATCATTATCGAAAGTATAAGGACCAGACTCATAGGATAACATGTCCAATTCATTTTTTAACAAATTCGTGTTAACCAATTTGACAGATCTGCTAGGCTTGGAATCACAATATTGGTCGAACAGCCTTTTTGGCGATACTTTGTGATGCTCACTGGGCCTGAAACTATTAGCTTCTTCAGTATGGTTTGATTCGTTAAAAAATATTTCTCGGAATGGTTTTGTCGATGTCTGATCAAATGAATTAGAATTAAAGTATCCAAAACTGTTGTTGCACAGGCGATGGTTTTAAATTTGCAGAATCCATTAACTTAATGGCATATTTTGGAATGGAAACGTCACCGTTGGCCGCTGAAGTTAACATTTTATCTGAAACAACAATAATTTGTTTATTGCCATAATAGTTACTATTATCTAAAACATTTTATTGAGAAACAAACTTTAGGCCTACTCACTATAGTGTAAAATCGCCCTATATTGACCTTCTTGCGAAATTTTTTAAATTTGTTCTTTTAAACTATTTAAGCACTTTTACACTGGTTCTTTTTTACTTCAATCAACTTAAGTATCTTTGTACTTCATTCCATTTCTAACAGAAAGTTAGCGTCCATTTCTAACAGAATACAAATGAATGAGTCCCCTCTCACTCCTGAACAAACCATAAAATATGCTTCGCTCCCGTACTTCCCACAAATCACGAACAAGCTAATCAAACTTTTCCAAAACTTACCTGTCAAAATAGCTTTAAAAAACACCAAAACCGTAGGAAAGTTATTTTCTAAGACAAAAACTCCATTGGCCCCTCTAGAACAAACTAACGTCGTCTATCATG